TGGTGCAATGGAGGACACTTTTTGCTTCCATTTGTGAAAAAAATGTCAGCTGGTTTAAAAGTATCAGGCAGTAAGAGGAAGTCTTGTGTCACAGAGCTAGGCAGATCCAACCTCTTGGGAGAGGATCCAGAAGGTATGCCCCTCTGTGGATCAAGGCCAGAGTGACTGTAGCCATGAGCCACAGCATCCTGTAGTCTGTGAAACACTGGTGAAAGGTGGCACATGGAGTATTCAAAGTAACCTTTCAAAATAAGCTAATGACACACCAAAGGGTTCTGGTACCACTGTAATAAAACCCACGAGAAAAAAAATTCTGCAAAACTGCGTTCTCAAAGCACCGCCTTTTTTTACTGTTCAGCTACCATGCACTCTAGCCATGAAGAGTCCCAAAACCATGCAGGTGACAGACCTGGCCCTGTCTTCTGAGCTAAACTAGATCTCTGCCATTGTGACCACTGTGGAGAAGGTAGAAGGAGTGCACTGACTGAAGAAGGACTTTAGGACATGTTTGAAATATGTGATTTCTTTCCAAAACCCAGAATAAGCATATTTTGGACTCTTCAGTCTCAGAGATTAGTATACTTACCTATTCTCAAGGACTACTAAAGTGAAATAAGCTATTTTGCTTATTTTGGCCAGAGTTCTCCAAGTGACCAAGCATAGACTCTTGTGTAGTTTTGGAAGATCCTATGCTAGGGAGCCAGGTGGTGCAGGTGTTTAAGCTGCTGTGACTCAAAGATGGGAAGGAAGGATTTGAAATATGTCCAAATCCACAAGGGATGTATGTGTGTTTCCCGCTGATACCCACTTCATTAGCATTGGCCACTATGTTTAACAGTTATTGTGGAGAAGATAAGAACCGCCTGATAGTGTGTTTTTGCTAGGAAGTCAGGAAATTGGTTGCTACAAAAGTTGCTGACCTTATGCGTGGTAGCCTCTACACAGCTATTTAGAGAGAATCTGACTCTGAACCTCTGATGTCCCCAAGAGCACCATAACCACTCCACAAATGGATGGGGGATATAAGGGAAGAGAAAGGGGAAAAAATGAGGAATGTATAGAGATGCAGAAGAAGAAAAAAGAGTACTCAAGAGAGGAACCTAACTTTAAAACCTTCTGAAAGGAGATCTCCCTAGGAAGAAATGGCTTCAGTCCTGGTCCCTGTTCCAGGTTTTGCCGTAGATACGGCAGTAAAGAGTTATTGATGAGGAGACGTG